CTTAGATAGAAAGGTATGAATAGATGGATATCGATATGAATAGATGGATATAGATATGAATAGATGGTGATTGATAGAGATGAAGAGACTGTGTGTGTGCAGGAGTGTGTATGCATTAATATATAGGGACTAATCTTTTGTAAATCAATAACCCTATATTCTATAATAAACTTCACAGTTGAAATTTACGCCGAATTCAGTTACTTTATGAATATTCACTATTTAATTAAGTGCATTAACAATATTGTAAAATATGTTTTATGTAAAATAAATTCCTTTTTCGTTGTTTTTATGCATTACATGCATATATATGTTTTTAATTTATTTGTTTAAATGTTAGTTTTAATAGTTAATCATATTTGAATAAATGCTCTGTTTATAAATTATAAATATTCTAATAAATAAATAAAAACAGAGCAATACTCAAATGTGAGTATCCATTTTAAAGAAAACAAATAAACTATAAATCTGTCTGATTTAATCCATTTTGCTAATATATATATATATATACATATATATATGAAAAGTTTCTCAGAGTTAAACTATAGAAAAAGACAATATTTATAAAGGCAAAAGACAATAGGAAAACTGTAATATTAGCCAACGCATTTCATCCAATATAGACTTTTTCAAGGTAAAAACAAGATGAATTATTAAAACAAAATAACTATTAACAACAAAACAAAATGTCCTTAGCAACTGGAAGAATTTATTTTCAGTTGACAATATGAGCTTTTTCTAAATTCTTCCAGTTGCTAACGACATTTTGTTTTGTTTTAATAAATTCATTTCCTTTCTGCTTTGAAAAAGTCCACGTTGGACGAAATGTGTCAGCTAATATTACAGTTTTCCTATTGACTTTTACCTTTATAAACACATACACCACATACACACACACAAATATATATATATATATATATATATATATATATATAAAAATTATTTATATTTATGCAATATATATATAATGATTAAAAAAGTTTTACTCATTATTACCGAACAAACTTCTGACATTAGAGATTTTTTTTAAATACAGGTTAAGCCTTTTATTTAGTCGCTACAGATTTGTAAGTAGATAATCCTTTAATTAAATATAGACTAATCAGTTTCTGATAATCTCTATGGCGGCTAATTACCTAGAAATTAATTTGACTTAAGATATGGTAAAAATAAATACAAGAATTTTGAGGTGGGATTTAACAATTACATAAACTTAACTATATTTATGAGATCACACACACACAAATGAATATTCGATCAGATTGGTATTCTTAGAGAGATATGTACTTTGAAGTTGAGATTTGGAAAGAAAATGCAAGGATTATTTACATTATTTAGATTATTGGGACTGTTAGCCTCATCTCCCTTGCCATATTCACAATGTTTTGGCCATTGTACACTCCAGCCTTCTTCAGGTGATTGGAATTTTGAACCATATCCCTTATTTTGTCCACCAGAGTAGATTGTTCTAGTTCCACGTGCCAGGCCTCTTCTTGATGTCTCAGTTTGATTCACCACTGCTGTAACCTGGTAGTGGACTCACAACTGTTTGGGTCTAGTCACTGAATCTAACCAACGTCTTTATTCCCAGTTTGGTTTGAAATTCAAATCACCTGAATGGAATCAGTATGTAAAAAACAAGAAAAATTATATATATATATATATGTGGGGACTGCATAGATAAATTTTTCAAAAATTTCAGAGTATCCACCAGCTGCCTCATTCAGGTTAATCTTATCCTCTCAAAAATGTTGTTTTGGAGGAAACCAGAAATGACAGAGCCAAAATTAGACAAGATGTGAAGAGAGCTAATAGAGTATCAAACAAAAAAAAAAAAAATACAGACCCCCACTCAGTGACATCCCACTTCTGATTGAGTAACCCCGCGGGAGAGTGTCTGTTGAAACACTTTCCATAAGTTCCTTGTAATTGCTTTGCAAGTTATATTAAGTTTGTTTTCTTTTTTCTTTTTTTAATCATTTCACCACAAGCAAGATAATAAAGCCACTAAGACACAAGGGGTTACTGAGTGTGAGAGAATATGAAAAAGAGAGAAAAAAACATTACTATGGAGAGAGGACAATAAAAGAACAGGTACTGAAATTGCATCTAAATTTTTGAAGATCAAAGTTGACTGGAAAACAATAAGCTAGGTGAGAGTTCTACAAGCAAGTAATATGAGAGAAGAAACTGTTAGCATAGAACTTACAGTTACATCTCGCAATTCCAACTGTAAAGTGATGAGACTGGATTAATACACATATGCACACATATGCATGCAAAAGTGCAAACTTGTGAATCTTGTTTTCAAGTTTTTTTTCTTCCTAGCCATTTTAGAATAAAAGTGGGCCATATAAACGCTATGCTGACGATTTTCGAAGAATTTACAGAAAAAGGAATACCATCCATATTTTCAAAGATCTCCATAAGAGATAGATTTTCTATAGAATGCAGCCATTTGAAATGAAACCAGGTTGGTTTGGTTTGGTTTGGTTTGGTTTATTTTCTTTTACGGCATATCAACCCCAATAAGTTATTTAATGCCGACAAAATTTTTTATTGCTGGTAATATTTTGTTTTGTCAAAAATCTGTTTCTGGTAATATTTTTCCTTCAAAATTGTATTGCTGGTAATAAATTTTTCAAAAAAGGTATTGCTAGTAATAGTTAACTATTTACCCGTAGCTGGGACCCTAAAAGATGCTACCACCCCGGGTCAGGGTGGACCTGGGAACACCAGCAATTAAGAGGTGATTCCACGTTCCTCAAAACTTCCTGATCAGAGGCCTTGTTTCTGGACGTAGTTTATCGTCTTATCCAAGACAGGAAACCGGATTGATCATAAACATTACAAAGAAACACACTAAAACTGAAACCTATTTTTGTAAATTTCAATTTATGAAATTAACAAATATATTTTTAATAACGGCATTTTAATACAATTTTTTTAAATAAAACCTCTTGTTTCTTTCATTGTTATTTATTCTGAACACTGAAAATAATACAAAAGAAGAAAATTAAAATCTAAATTATATATCTCGGCTTCATTCACTTTCTCACCGATGTGATGTGGATTCCCTCGTTCTTTTCAACAAATATTTTCATGGCAATTATTCTGATGAACTTTCCTTCTTGAACGGATTCAAGCACGCAACCAAGTGTCACCATTTTACTGTTGGACTAGTCAAGTTCAACCATAGGTTCTATTCTAATAGTTTCTTTCCTTGCACTTCTCACCTGTGGAACTCCCTTCTGGTTTCTTAATTTTACTGCTATCTAATATCTTCAAATATGTAAATGCAGCATCAATCGCCATCTTCTGTCTTCCTGAAACCTGTTCTTTTATTGTCTTTTCTCCTCATTAAAATCTCCCCATTCTCTTTCACTCCCAGTAACCACCTTGCGTCTTAGTGGCATTATCACCTTGCTTGATATTAAATGATTAAAAGAAATATCTATTTTATATTTATAATGAAATTTATAGTTTATATGAAACCCCACGATTCTTCTTTCTTCGGCATCGACGATGGAATAGCGCTGTAGGTGCTAGGCGATGGAGTTACATCGCCAGTGCGCCACGAACCTGGGCGGTATGTATGGAGAACTAGGGCTGCCCGGACGTCTAGTTCCCCGTCTCGGCCTTGCTATTAGAGTCCAAAGGAAAGGATGAATCAATACAGTTTGGTACCATCGCGGCTGCAGGAGTTGCCGGAATATAGCACAGAGTGCCGTCGATCTGCCTTAGGGGCTCCACTCCGGATTTGTGTAGGGTTTACTCCTTAGCCTTTTCTTCTCTCGAACATTTCCACAAGGCAGTGGAACTATTTAACCCATAGCTGGGGTTTGGTTCATGGGTACCAGGGCGTGTCCACACACCGGTGGGCCTGCAAGCCACATGTTAAGGGGGCCAAACTCTTCCCCATTCTCCTGTAGTTTAGCCCGAGTCTGCAAGGTGCTCGGTTGCCATGTGTCGCCACGAGGAGGAACTAGGTAGGGCTTGCTGATGGAGAGGCTATATACTGGCAGGGGAAGACTTACATACTCGGCTCCCCTTTTCGCATTTCTGCTAGCCAGCAGCGGTAACTGAAAGCGAGAAGCGACAAGCACTACCACTACAGACTACCACACTAGACGCATCACAACAGCCGTTGAGATACCAACCCCACGATACTAGTAATGTAATAATGTTCTACAGTACTATCGAAGGCTCACGAAACAGCTAGTTCTAACGCGCTACTTTGTAGAAGCATCTGTATGCGTGTTTGTATGTGTGTGCGGGCGTACGCGCGTGTGGGATTCTTTTTTTTACATTGTTTAATAATCACAGATGTTGTTGAAAACCCTTAAGAGTTTCAATGATAAATATGAAATCAATGATTCAAAAGACACGGCTTTTAAATTGCAGAAAATTGATAATGAAGTGAAAATCTGACCTTGTAGAAATATTCAATTCATCAACAAACAAAAAAAAAACTTGTAGGAATATTATTATTATTATCATAAATAATTGAAAACAAATTATAAAGTAATAACAATGAAGATTATAAATAAAACAAAGTAAAATAATAACATAAAAACATTGTATAAAATAAATTATTTAATTTATTATTAAAAATTAAAAATAAATAATTATTTAATTTATTATTAAAAATTAAAAATAATAAAATATTCCCAGCATGCAACAAAAATTCTTCTTGTTGGAAATACGGACATACCGGCAAAAGGCGTTAAATTCAATCTTTTCACCGCGAACCCTGGTACGGGCAACACGTGTCCAACTTCTGTCTGTGATGCGGTTTGTAATACTACGGAGTAAATTTCTCCCTTTTATTACATGTACTATACACAATTGTAACCTAAAAATACTCACACAAATTCACACAAAATATATAAATACTTACTCACCCACAAACTGAAAAGAAAGCTGATAAAGAGTAAATCCTAAATTTTTATATTCCAGAAATTGTTGAGATGCTTTATAAAAATTATTCCTTTATTTTT